TGACTTCTGTCATGCTCAGCAGCCACCTATTAAGGTAATAGAAAAAATGCAACACATGAATAATCTGTACAGTGGGCATTCTGAACCTCCAGGGTGTTCTTTGCAAAAATGGAGAATGCTGGTTATGTGGTACATAATTCAGTGTAGATGGCATGTTGATGTAGCAGCAGAAGTTTTGGGAATACAGTGCTACAACTGGTATTGCCTGGATACCAGCACAGGTAAAGCATAGCTTGGTCCTTTAATTAAAAAGCAATTGTGTTAAAGAAATAGTTTTCACTCTTAAAATGGTTCTGAAAGAGTGTGCTGAGACTGAAGGACATGCTGGGGCTGAATGTAAGAGAAGTAGAAATGGCAGCATTTCACTATGTAGTGATGTTACTTCTGTGTTATGAATGGGCTCAGAAATGCTCCTGCGGGTGCAGGGTCTGTTGTCAGTGGCGTGCTGTGTAGTCAATGGCCTGAGTACACTACAGATTTCCACTCTAGAATTAAACCTGCCAGCCTTCAACGAGGTCCAGTGTGAGGTAGCCTGTTCTTTGGCTTCTGCTGTTCTAGGGATACTCATGGTTTTTCACTTTCTCTTGTAGTTCATCAGTGCAGATGTGTATGGAGTATGTTCACGTTTGTTTTGTGACTTTGGTGATGAATTTGAAGTGCTGGATACAACAGGAGAGGAGCCAAAGGAGATCTTCATTTCAAATATAACACAAGTAAGGGATAAAAGTCATTGTTTTGCTTTAACTGTTTTAAAAGGACTCATTATTGGCTCTTTAAAAAGGAGAGTGTCAGGATGCTTCATTTGAGCAGCCCACTAAGCAATTTACAACTGGCCTATGGGAGAAGCAGTTACTTTAGTTACTTTGTTCTTACCGTTGCCTCCTGGTTGTTATTTGCTATTTAACACATAATACTGATTTCTTTTAATTGGGCAGAGAAAGAAATGAGGAGATGTAGAAAGAAGAGTATGTAACTTTGGTGTTGGAATAGGATAAGTTCTAAGGAAATGTGAAAATAGTTGTGAAAAGAGCCCTTTTTATAAGAAACTGCAGCACTTACAGGTGCGCTACTGGAATAATCAAGGGGATTGGGAAAATATTTTGTAAAGAAATTTAAAGGTTTGTTTTAACCTACCAAAGCAGAGGCAATGAGAAGGGGATATTATTGCTAGTACTTCCAGTGCAGAATGTTAGGCTGTCCATTTAATCTTGTATTATTGTTTTATAAAGGGAAATTACTTTGGGTTCTTTTTTCAGTTCTGGAAGTCCAGACAGTAAGCTCACTCATCCAGCAGCAACACTTTTGTCGTATTTCCAGTCTAGATATAATAATAACTGATCTAGGAGGGGTTGTACAGCAAGTTGGGTTTGGTCTGGATTAAAGCTTATGATTTGATGATTTGGGTAGCCTTGTCCTTGGTGCCTTTAAAAGGGAATGGATGATTTGGTGGTTGTTCTCATTAATTACATAAGGAGCACATAGCTGAGTTTCATGGATTGTGCTGATTACCTGCCAAGTCAAGGAATGAATATATATTTGTATATATGTCCTGTGTTTAATAATCTGATACTTTAGTTGTATTTTCTTCCACTCTGGAGTGTAAAACTGATGAGAATTAAAACTCAGTGCCATCAAGTGGTTGTTCTTGTCCTGTAGACAGGGTCAAGGTGGCCCTGTGTCCCTAAATCAGAGCAGAATTTTCTCCAGTCCAGCCCTTTGTTGTTCATTGTCCACAGAGAATGTGGTTGACTGTAATTAAGTTCTATGCTACTTAAATGAAATCTTTCTTATACTGGGGACTCAGGAACGGATAAGAGGAGACTTTGCAAGCCAGGCTTCCTTGCAAATGCACCAGATTACAGCCTGAGGTACAGCACAAGGTCTTGATGAGCTGTGTTCAGGCTGCAGTGAGGTCTCTGTGTGCATGGCAGGTTGGCTTCACATCCCATAACAGGATGAGGTGTTTGGAATTCCTACAAGTGTAAGCTTGCCTGTGACCTGCTGAAGCTGTGTCTCTCCTGTGTGCTGTCTGGCTTTTTAAGTTTCCAAGCTTTCAAGAATGAGTTTAGAAAGGAAGCATGGAGTAATAAGGACCATTCACGAGCCTTTATTTTTTAATGCCTCTGAAAATTTCTTTGCATATAGGGACTATAGAAAAAGGAGATAAGTCTACTATTTCAGAACATAACAATGGATTTGACTGCTGAGAACTAGCAAATGTAGTTTGCTAACATACCGAGAACTGGAAACAGTGAAAATAAAAGTTTGTGTTGTAGAAATACAGTTAAATTTGAAATCAGAGGACTGAAAAAGTTGTCATAGGTAACTCTTACTGTGACAGAAACAAGATGCTAAAAGTATTAGAGCCTGCAGTTTCAGTAGACAAAAAGCTATGTACCTGCAATACAACGTGATCCCTTTGCACAGGACGCTTTCCTCCTTGCTGACTGCCATTTTTTATTTCAGTCAAATCCTGGTATTGTCACTTGCCTTGAAAATCATCCACACAGGCTTGAAACAGGACAGTTCTTAACCTTTCGAGAAGTTAATGGAATGTCATGCTTGAATGGATCCACACACCAAATAACAGGTAAACTGCTGCTGACTCATTTGCAAGGTACTTATTCTCTGGCCTGATTTAACCACTGCAGTATTAATTACCGTAGTCAGAGGAGTGCTGGGTTGTGCAGGCCTCCAGCGAGCTTGCACAAAAAAATTGCTTTTTGGTGCAAAGGTCATCCTGGTGTTGTTTTGATGGCATTTCCATTTAGTAAAGTCTACCTGAATTTGTCTTGCTGCTTAAGGAGCCAGTGGAATTCCTCAGCTTAAAATGTGGAATGTAGTTGGCAGACTCTGAGCTGACCATCGTTCCTCTGCTGATGAAACTGGTTTGGTACTTGGAGGGTTCCATAATGCCTGTGCTTCTGTCATGATTTTGGATGCCACTTGGTGTGTTGCTGTTTGCCTTGTTGCTTTTTTGGGTGACAAGTGTACAGGGATGCATTGACAATGTTCTAAGAAAGCTTTTGAAATTATTTTCATGATTTACATCTACCCTGCATTGTTCTACTTCATGCATGTCTCAAGGGAGTCTACTTGGTTCCTTTTGGATGCTGGGGAATTTTCTAGTTCCCAGATCTGAATGTCTGTTCGTTTAGGGCAGAGGAGAGAGCATGTGGGTGGGGGGTTGTTTTTTTTTTAACTGGTTTGTGGTCTGAGACAAAAAACAGTACCCTTGAAACATGTGCTTGAATCCGTTTCCTTTGTGCCCTTGCATTTTGCTAGAACTGATGCTGCAGTCTGTTCCTTCCTCCTATTCATGGCTTAGCTTTTGGTTTTAGTTTTCCATGAATTAACAATTTTTCTGTCTTTTTGCCTTGTCTGAATGATACTTCCCGTGTATGAAGGGGAAGATGTGACAAAATACTCCAGGCTGCCTTTTTTGCTTGCCTGTAGTTCTCATCACAGGGCTAAAATCCTACTCAGAGCAGTTAATACTGGACACTGCTGTGCACAGTCTAAAGAAAATTAAACATGATTTCATTTTTGTTACAGAGCTGTGGTCATCAGAATTCTTGTTAAATCTTCTGCCACTTAAAGCTCATTTCATAACAGATCATGTGAAAGTAATACTTAGTATTACTTTATAACCAGAAAACCTCTGCCAGTTTCTGGGTTAATCCTGTTAGGAGGATCAGCTGTGCTTACGCTTTCAAAACAAGGTTGCCTGCTGCAAAATTGCAGTGCAGAAAGCACTGGCAAATACCCCGCTTCGTTGTATACAGAACTGTAGCATCCAGTGACACTTTGAATTATGTGTCAGTATTTATTCTCTTCTCTTTTCAGTGGTGTCACCTTATTCCTTCAGCATTGGTGATACATCAGAGATGGAGCCTTACCTGCACGGAGGCATAGCTGTGCAAGTGAAGACGCCCAAGATGTATTACTTTGTAAGTGTGTGCTTGACAGAGCTGGGTCCTGCAGTGTTAATCTCTGAGCACTGGAAGCAGAGTTCAGCATATGTACATGTTTCCTACAATTATAGAATGTTCTTTGTTTGGAAGGGGCCCACAAGGATCATGTTCTCCAGCTCCTGGCTCTGCACAGGATGGCCCCAAAAGTCACACCTGTTTAAAGATGAGTCTTCCCACTAGGATGTGAAACATTTCTCTGGCCATTTTTGATAGAACTTGCAGTAGATAATTACTTTTAGTATCTAGTGTGGTATGAATAATGAAGAGAGCAATGACTGTGCAAGTCAGAAAGGATATTTATTTCTTAATCTCTATAGGAAGAGTATTGTTTTGTCAGGTAGCAGTGGTTGTTGTGTTCTCAAGTACTGTGTTGTTGTCATGAATTCTGTTTTTCCAGGAACGGCTGGAGAAGCAGATAACAAATCCATTATGCCTTGTTGCAGATTTTAGCAAGCCTGAGGTAATTAGCATGTGGGGATTTGGGCATAAATGCTCTAATAGTAAACATGCGTGGATTGTAATCTATAGCTTTATGTTTAGAATAATATAATTTCTATAATTTCTATAATTTTTGCCCTTAATGCTGGGCTTTGTTACTGCTGTTTGGCAAAGTGCAATGCATTATAATATCTAGTTAAAAGAAGACTACCACACTTTCCAATTTCAGCTCTAAATTCTTTTGGGGACTCTTCAGTTGGACTTAGTTGAAGTGGGTGCTCAATGTGTGTGAAGGTGTTGCATTACTGAGCAATACTTTAAAAAAAAATTAATAAAAGGTATTTCAATTTCACTTTTTAATTTTATTTTGAAACTTTTTTGAGCGTTGTACTTAAGAGACAAGAAATGAAACGGTAACAGGAGAGTTCAGGTAGATGTTTTTGTGTACTTCATTTCTATCTAGTTTGTAACTGGTCAACTGATGTGTTGTCTTAACAGGCACCTTTGCAGATCCATATTGCCATGCTTGCCTTGAACCACTTCCAAGAGAGCTTTGGTTGTGGACCGAAAATTGGGTAAAGCAGCCGTTCTGTGTTTGCCAAGCCTTGAATCAGGCAGATCTCTTCTTTTTGTGTAGTTACTGGCTGACCGTGGAGCATGGTACCTTCCCTGTCTGGTACCTGATAGCCCATATAGAAATGGAAAGATGGAAAATGTTACCCTGATGTGTGTAATGAGGCTTTCCCAATATAGATAGCAATGGAACTTTCTGGGCCCAGGTAGACAGAACATACTTTTGGAGAAGGCCTTGTCTGTTTTGGTTTTTTCACATTGTGGATTGATATGGAAAAATTGTTTCAGTGATCCTGAATTATCTTGTAGTTCATGGATTTAAAAAAAAAGTCCATATGATTTGGATTTAATTTTCAGTGTTTTTCATTCAGCTGTAGTTCTTGATGTGTGTAATTTTGAGTTAAATGAGACAAAATTACCTAAGAAGTGTAAATCTTAAGACTGTACTTGCATATGGGCTTTTCCACTGAGGCTTCTTTCTTGAGCTACCCCTAACATTTAGGAGTACATCTTGAATGCTCAATGTTAAGAATAATGCGAGATTCCAAACTTCCTACTGTATCCATTGCTTTTTTTCTTCCATTGATTGTGTTTCTAGAAGAACTCTGGCATGTTTAAGTCATCATTATTGTTTCTACCCTGGTGTCTAGATGCCTCCAAGATGCTGAGGAAATGCTGAAAATAGCCATGTCTATAAGCGAAACACTGGAAAACAAAGTGAGTAAGGAATTATTGCCATTATGAGTCTCTTTTTTATGTGCTCATTTACTTGCCTAAAGGTCATGCTTTAGTTGTTGGTCCTTGTTCTGGCCTTTGAATCCATCTTTAGATGGTTCAGCTGGCTGGCTGAAGGCCAGGTGAGGAAACAGAATGAATGGGATTTCAGCATGGGTTCAACTGAATGTTGACCTAACATGAAGCCTGATCCTGTGGTGATGTGAATCCAGTTTTTAGACAAATGCATGTGACAAGTACAGGGTATATGGTGCATCTGTTTTGGCTGGAAACTTTTTTTGCTAGTCAGAGTGAAATAATCTGTCTTTCACTGAAGAATAATAGTCTGTGAAACTGTCAAACACTGACTTGTTCACTGAGGGGGTAAACCTGTCCCTGTGTCTTCCTTTTCAGCCTCAAGTGAACGGAGATGTGGTGAAATGGCTGTCTAGGACTGCTCAGGGATTTCTACCTCCTTTGGCTGCAGCAGTGGGTGGTGTTGCCAGCCAGGAAGTCCTGAAAGCAGTAACAGGAAAATTTTCTCCTTTACAGCAGTGGGTAAGGCTGTCTTGGTTTTTGGATGGTTATTTTGACATCTTATGAATGGATGGCTGTGTGTAAATGCTGTATGATCAGAGGAACCTTTTATGGAAATAAAATAAAAAAATTGAGACTGTATTTAGAGAAAGTAGTGTTTTTATGTGTACAATGAAAGTACAGCCAATTTTAGTTAAAATTTTTGTATTTGGGGTTCCAAAAACACATTGTTTTTCCGCACTAGAAAAAAGAGCATTGGCTTGTCAGTGTATGGATGCAAAGGTGTGATACAGTGCAGATACCAGCTTAAGCTACTGCACATAAGGGCAGGGCTTTCAGACTCTCAGAATAAATGTCAGAGTACAGTTGGATTAAAAAATGTCACAGTCTTCAGAGATACCTATGGAGGAGTAACATGCCTGTTAGAAGTCAAAAACTTGCAGCTTATCTGCTTGAGTGAATGTTTTTTATGCTCTGTGTCCAAGTGCTTTTTCATCTCCACTAAAATTGTGGTGTGAACTGTAGGGTACCAGATGCTGTGTAGTCTTCCCCTGACAGTAAAAACTTAGTTTATAAATTTCTAGACTCTGTTGTTCATACAAAGTAGTTAGTTTTTAAATTAAAATAGCATGAATGTTTTTCTCAGGTTTTTATTGGATTTTTTTTCTTTTTTTCATTCCTTTTATAGCTATATATAGATGTGCTAGACATTGTAACGCCTCTAGAGAAGGTGGGCTCTGAGGAGTTTCTCCCACGGTAAATATAACTACAAGCTGTTGGTTTATGTACTGTTCACATCTGAGTCTCAAGCAAGCACAGATGTCTTTTAATTCAGTGCTTTTTGCTGGAGGGACAGGTTTGGGGTTAAGACTCTGTGTCCTATTTCAGCATGGGATGAGCAGGAATTATAGACTGACTTTCTTAATTCATGTCAAATGCAGTTTGGCATCAATGGTACTACCATGATAAATAGTAGCTTGAAGTCTCCTATTTTTGTCTTCTGTACCTGCATAGGGGAGATAGATACGATGCCTTGAGGGCTTGTATTGGAGACTCTCTGTGCCAGAAGCTCCATGATTTGAATGTTTTCTTGGTGAGTATGACTGACACTGTTACACTGTTTGCAAATGCTTTGTTGGTACAGTTAATGCCCACTGCCCTCGAAGTACATGAGGGCAGCTCTGATATGTGCCACTGCAGAATAAATGGTCTAGAACTGCAGTGGGACTTGCCGTTGTGGTTTCCACTTACATTTCTGATTCTACAAATGTAATGTTCTTTAGGTTGGATGTGGAGCGATAGGCTGTGAAATGCTGAAAAACTTTGCACTTCTTGGTGTTGGTACTGGGCAAGACAAAGGATTGGTAAGTCACTTGTTAACCTTACTTCTCATTTGAGGTAATGTGACAGGGAAGAATTAAATAATTAAACTACTCAAACTGTTAAAAGCCTAAGTCTTATTTCAGGTTAATCTCTGCACAGAGGGAGGGTACCATGACCTTGGTGTAGAAGGGTGTGCACTTAGAAGCAGAATACACCTGGAGCAGTCTAGCTGTATTTTGATTTTTTTAAAAAAAATTAGTCAGTCTGTATAAGCAGAGTTTGGCCACAGTGGATGGCAATAGCAGTATTTTGTTTTGGCAAGTGTTTATAGAAGTTTCATCAAGATCATTGCTCAGTGTTACACTTAAATTGTAACTTCAGCTGTTGCTTTTGCCCCTTCTGACTTAGGTTACAATTACAGATCCAGATTTGATAGAGAAATCCAACCTGAACAGGCAGTTTCTTTTTCGACCTCATCACATACAGGTAGGCTTTCTTATTCAGTAAATTTTCTGGGCTATTGTGTTTCCCTGTCCTGTGTTCCCACAAAGAGCTGAACTTGTGAGTGTCTGTACTTCCATCCAGAAAAGACTTAAAGGCTGTAATTAAATCTAGGGTCTTTTTTCAACAGTGCTTAGAACTCCAATGGCATCCAACTCATCATTAGTATCAGTTGAGTAAAATTGGCTTGTCTAATCTTAATTTGTAGTGGGTTTTTTTTGACTAATGAAATCTCTCGAATTTGACAGTTGGATGAGTACTGTATTGTGTAAGATCCTGCCGTAGGTTACTATGTCAGAAATGCCCTACTATGCCATTGAAATTTGGGGAAAATAAAACAACAGAAAATAGACAGTGCTGGCAGAAATGTTCTTGATGGAGCTCAGTGCTGCTGCTGGTGGAACTTGACCAAAGTTGGTGTCTTCTGACCTAATTCAGTTTTCACTAAGCTGATAAATAGTTTTGAAGAAGTCCAACATGTACTTTCAATAAATGCATAATACAGAGGCTCTTAATGCCTTAGAAGCGGAGACAACATCCCTGTACTTGCAAACACAGCACAAAATAAAAAAGGTGGCTTAGATCTTGGCAGCACTGTGGAAGAAGGTTTCCCCTGCCCAAAACCCAACAGTTGGATTTTCTGCCTCCTGTTTATGTGTAGCAGATCTGGGAACAGATTGTCCTTGGTATGAATAGATATACCGAAAGTGAACCCTGTAAGCTTTTAGAAGCCACAGGCTTGAGTGGTGATCCCTAGATAATTGTGATATGGCTAGAAGTGTTGGGTAGGTCAAGAACTCTATTTCAGTTGAGCTTCTGACATTGATTTTGTGTGGATTACCTTGCAGTAATATGGTTATTCACAGGTGCTTGATGCCTGTGCTGCATAGACACAGTCAGAGTTACCAATGGGTTTATCCTCAGACAGTCATGCACTCTCCCTTCTTTAGAAGAAATTCTTAGGAGGCAGCACATGGCATCAGTTCCAGTTACTTGATAAACCATTTAAGCACTTCCACCACATGGTCTCTGAAACAATAAGTAAAGCAAAAAATAAAATGAGATTAATAAGATGTTCATCAGTGAGGGAGGTATATGATTTTAAAATGTCATTTATTGTATGTTTTGCATACTAACATTTCTGTCAGTGAATTTTGTCTGATCAGTAAATGAAGTTGGTATTTTTGTGTCCCTGATGTTCTTTATCTGCATATTGCTGATCTCTGCATTTATGCTTTCAGAAACCCAAGAGCTACACTGCAGCAGAAGCAACTATGAACATCAATCCTTACATAAAGATTGATTCAGATATTAATAAAGTTTGTCCAGCCACTGAGAACACTTACAGCGATGAATTCTACACCAAGCAAGATGTGATCGTGACTGCTTTGGACAATGTTGAAGCCAGGAGATACATTGATAGGTAGGGGGTGGAAGGGAAACAAGGGCAACTGTTAACTTCTGATGAGGGTGAGAATACTCTGACAGTTTTAAGGTTGAATTATTTAAGCATAAAAATAAGTATTTAAATTTAAAAGTAGAAATATTGACATTTACAGATAATTTCTAATGCTTATAATCCACACATGCTGAGGTGTATGGTATCCTGATCTAACCTGAATAGTTCTTATTTAATCTCTTTTTTTTCCTGAGTTTGGTGTAATCTTCCCACTCTTCTGCAAGTGCCTAGAGACAACTCTGGTTGCAGTCCAGTAATGTTTGCAAGACAAGAATGTAGAGGTTGTTCTGTACTCTGATAGTCTGTGTTTTTCCATGTCAGTCGTTGTGTAGCAAACCTGCGTCCTCTTATAGACTCTGGAACTATGGGAACAAAAGGACACACAGAAGTTATTGTGCCCCATCTGACAGAGTCTTACAATAGTCATGTAAGTCTTTCAAGACCATCGCTCATCTTCTTCACTTGTCCCATGATGCCATCTGATTCTTTGGTCATTTTTATGTGTCTTTCTAAAATAAGTGGCCTATTTGAGCTGCTGAAGAACAGTACTGCTAGGAAATAATTACTTCCTTTGTTTCTGAAGGAAAAACTCACAGGAAATAAAATTTGAGTAGTTCTTTACAAGGATACATAACAGTTCTGTTTGAATGGGAAAGGGGAAAATGAACCTTCAGACTCTATTGCTGATAGACAATACTTGCAGTATCCCTCTGTTTAAGGTTCTTGTGGAGAAATTCCCTGGCTGAGAACACCATGAAATAGTGTCATGTGGACACAGAGACAGGATTTTAAGCATCCCAGTTGTCTTGTTAGGATCCATAAAGAAGTCTTTCTGGCCTTGAGTGACAGGGCATGTTTCATGTTGAAAATGTACATGAATGCCAGCTGCACATCTTGGAAAAGCTGGCTGGCAATTTCACCTGTTGTTTATATTTCACAGTTCAGTTTGGCTTTCCAGTGTTGAGTTTAGACTATTTCTCATAAAGAAGAATTGACAATGCTAGCTAGTGTTCATGAAACTGATTTTTAAGCATAAAAAGCCACTTTGTATTTTATAAGAGCAGAGTTTTAACTTATGTAGCTTACAAGTTCTTGGTGCTATTATTAACAATTAACCTGGATAAGCCAGCATTGACATGCAACCCTCCTTAATTACAGCGGGATCCACCAGAGGAAGAAATACCTTTTTGCACCTTGAAGTCTTTCCCAGCCGCTATTGAGCATACGATACAGTGGGCAAGAGATAAGGTAATGGATTAACTTTTCTGGCATTCAGCACAACTCCATGTGTGTTTGGAAGGGTGGGCATCTGATATACTTCTTGCATAATGCCATGTTTGTTGATCTTATTTTACAGTTTGAAAGTTCATTTTCTCATAAGCCTTCATTGTTTAACAAGTTCTGGCAAACCTATCTGTCGGCAGAAGAAGTTTTACAGGTAAGGGAATGTTGCCAGGGTAAAATAGAGGGTTTAAACTACTGCTTTATGGATTTTGTTTCTATTTAGGGCCAGTGAGATTAGGGTTAGTTTCTGACTTTTTTCAGAAAACCCGAAGACTTACTTGGCCAAGTCATTAGCTGATCGTATGAACGCTCTTTCTGGTGTGTTTCATAATTAAAATCTTCTCCAGTTCATGAGCTGTGTACATGATATAGAAATATCAGACTGAGACACTGTTAGTGTGTGTCACACTGATGCATAACTAGCTGGGGAAAATGAAAGTAAGACTGAGTTTGAAGTGAGTTCAAGTAGTAATAAATTAGATTTAAATAGTTTACTATCTTTTTATTGTCAGTCTGTAATGACCTGTGGTCCAAAGGGCTGGTGGAAGTAAATGGGGAAAGAACCCCAGTGGAGAGGAGCACATAAAGGATAATATTTCATGAAGTGAACCTCAGTTTTCTTTTGCTATGGATTACTAAAAACATATTTACTGTTTGTCTGGATTAGAAGGAATCTTATCTGTTTTAATATTTTCATGTTTCTTTATCTAGAGAATAAAATCAGGAGAGAGTTTGGAAGGCTGTTTTCATGTTATTAAAACTCTCAGTAGAAGACCCCGAAGTTGGACTCAATGTGTAGAACTAGCAAGAGTGAAATTTGAAAAGTATTTTAGCCATAAGGTAGGTAAGACCTGTAGCTGAGGTAGCACTAGACTGATGAGGATTTTAGAAAACTTGGTGGCCCTAATAACGAGATGTCCAAGTATTTGCACTCACTTCCATCTCTTCATAAATAATAAACTGTATTTGAAACCTGAAAGTGCTGCATCCCTTTCTATTGTAGCACTTCTAGGTCTGGTTTATTGACTCACTCTTAGTACTCTTTTTAGTAGTCTCCATGCAGTTTTCTTGGCATTTTTCCAGAGTTTTCCAAAGTGTCAGGATTATCAGATGTCTTTTCTTAGGCAGTGGGGTTTTGTTTCCCACACTAAAATCCCATTACTGAGCTCACCTTTGTAACCCTGATTTTCTCAAAGATTTTTTTGAAATAAGAGCCAGTCATTCTGACAGTCTGGTCCACAGTATCACTTAAAGTATATGTGTAATTTTGTAGGAAAGATGGGATTGGGATGTTGTGGATTAATAAATGTTCCTGTGCATACAGAATCCCTGGTGGTAGTTGTCACATTGAGAAAATATTGTATTCCAAGTTGTGAATCCATATGCAAGAATTCTGAAGTGACAGTAAGGTGGGGGAGAATGCTTTGCTTCTTGGAGTAAATGCCTTACTTGAGCTTTGTACAGATGAGGCAACATTGGCATCTCTGTTCTGTGAATGAAATAGGCAAACACTCTGTTTAGTAGTACTTGTCTTTAAGGTGTCCATCTTGACAAAGGTGTTTCATGATTTTCTTAATTCTTTAAATTACTTCAGCTGGACAGGCTTGATTTAGTGTGGTCATGTCAATCTATGTGACAAATCACTAAAGCCTCTCTGGCTTTTCCCCTAGGCTCTTCAGCTCCTTCATTCATTTCCCCTTGATACACGATTAAAAGATGGAAGTAAGTATAAATGCCCCTTAATGCCTGTTGAAAATTCATGGCAATATGTCATGTTGTTGCTGCTCCTAGTTTCTTAGGATTTCATCTTAAGTCTGTTTTCCTACAAGGTTTGTTTTGGCAGTCACCAAAGAGGCCTCCTTTCCCAGTGAAGTTTGAATTTAATGATCCTTTGTAAGTATGGTACTGTCTTTGTATAGATGCATTGTATAGCATCCTGTAAACATAACAACATATATACTAACAAACATACAACAACTAGTAACACATATATATACTAACAAATACAACAACCTTACAGCAGGAAGTGCAAGGCAGTGGTTTTATAGCCCAGGGAGTTGGACTGGAATTGATAGGTGTTAGTGCATAGTCTTATCCAGTGGCAGATTTGGTGAACTGTCAAATACTTTCACTGCAGATAATTTAACTTTCACTGACATGGAATTGGAGGGTGCTGTTCTGATAACATCTAATGTGAAATGTCTTAGAACAACCCATTTCATGTCTTACATGGCTGCAGAATTACTGAGTTTTTGCTGTCACGCCTCTCTGCCCCCACTGTCCACATCATAAAATGCAGGATGTGCCAAATGACCTAGCAAAGGAACTACTTTTCTTGTTCATCACAATTTGGGTCTGATCTAGATGGCTTGGGTATTACAGATAGTTTTAAAAATTCAGTTTATTAATGGATTAAAAAGCTTTTATCTGCTGTATATCTACAATTGCTTTGAGAAAGTGAATCATCGTTTTTAGCTTAAGTGAAACATGATGTTATGGTAACTATCAAAATAATTCTGATATTAAGCTTTTTATCATATTGATGCCATGTGAGCATTTGTAATTGTTTGTTTGACTGCAAAGTTTAAGGAGGTAAGGTTTTCGTTAAATAACTCTCCATTCATCAAAGTGTGCAAAGTTTTGGGGACAACCTCTGAGTCACTCAAAATGTGCTATTTTGTACTGTGTACACTGAAGATGGAAACTCTGTTTCTCAGTATGTTTGTGGAAGATCTTGAAACATGATTGCAAACCTTTGGGCAACTAAAGTAGAAAAAACAACCAAAAATAATTATTTTTTCTTTAGGCACTATGGTTTCATTGTGAGCACAGCAAAACTCTTTGCAACAGTGTACTGTGTTCCTTTCACAGAAAAGGTAATCCAGACTGTAACAATGTTCCCTTAACTTCACTTGGTGTTCAGTTTTGGCTTGATGTCCAGCTGTCAGTTTTTAAAGTGATTCTTACAGTAATCTATCTTTCAGTACTGGCTGTTTGGCAGCTGCTTACACTTACTTTCTTCATTTAAATCCCTAACCTGGAGAAGAAATAAGTAGTGTGTTGGATATTTGCAGTAAGCACTGAACTTGGGAATGATTATTTTGATACAACTACTGAACCGAAAGATGATCTCTTTAAGGCTTTTTTTAAAAAATTAAAACCTCAGGTATGCTATGGGGGTTTTATTTTTTACTGCTTACAGCCTTTGCATTACTTATCCTTTGTTTTTTCTTGTTTTCTAATTGGACCTTCCTTTAAGTCAGGTTTGCACTTCTGTTCAATTTTC